CATATATTTCATTTTAACAATATAAGTTTTCATTGACATTCAAACTTTTTAAGGGGGGAGGTGTTGTGAGGTGTGTTGTATTTGTATTATTTCATCATGTATATTATTAGTAACATTAAGTTTCTTGAACATTCCAGAGTGGTCAACATGTTCGGTCATTTTTCTAGAACATTCTTGAACTTTGTGCATGTCCAGAACTTTCCAGTAATATCATGTATTTACAATTTCTAGAATATTCTAGATTTATGAGACTGTATAAATACCCTGTCAATTCGATGCATAAATAATGGTGAACATCGTCGTATAAGCATCATTGAGGTATTACTGGGATATAATTTCACTGGGACATTGTGTGCAGCAACGGACACTCTGATGTATGTATTTTTAGATTTTTGCTAAGTTTGTACTTAATGATTTGTATATTACTGTAAATAAATTATTGTTAAGTTTAAACTGTGTGATTGATCTTTGCTGGCATTTAGGGTTATTCTGACCCATAACACTTTAACTACAAAATATCTCTCAATTTACCTGGGATAACTATAACGGGCTTTTCACCAATAGTTTCACAGACGGCACAGGGCACGTCGTGATCCACGAGATGGGACACAGAGTCACTATAAACACCCTTGTATTCCGCCCCGTAAAGAAGTCCTCTGAAATTGTCCTTCCAGTTGTTATGGGACCCCCATTGAGGGTCTCTTGGTAAACAGAGTGGGTCTACCGCGGCGCCCTTGTGCATGTAATAAGATCCTCCAGCAAAGCCTACAAAACAATAAAGTTCTTTAACATTGAAATTTATATATTAAACGAATTGAATTACCAAATACATTGTACATGTATAAATGATCTAAAGAATCGTTTTTTAAAAGTGGTTAAAAATGAATATTTGCATCGATCGATGGGGTAAGAAGAATGGATGGGGTACCTGACCCCGCCCCTTTGCATTTGCGATGTTTTTAACTGTATACAGTACATATTAATAAAATACCCAAAATATGACCTCCCCTCCCCCCCCCCCCTTTAGCAAACACGGGTCCCTTCTACGTTGTTTGGAAGAGCCATGATATATTTAAACTTCGAAACGTTATAAGGAAAACTGATCTACGCCCGAAAGGAAATATGTTTTTTCTTAATCAAAAATACCCCAGCCTTCCCCAATTCTACCATGAAATATATTTTTTTTTCGATTGGATTAGTATCTTGACTAAGTCTGACATGCACCCTCTCTTTTGGAGAAAAGAAATCCCGGCTCCGGGATCCGTAATGTTATAATTATTATTCAAATCCAACATCTAAAGCAAATTTGAGAGTGTTCATCCCTTGATGGATCATCCATGCAAGTTTGGTTTAATATAGGTCATAGTTTCTTAGTGATAGAACTGTACCCATAACTTTAACTTGTTCCTTTACATGGAAAATGTATGTGGGATCCTGCATCTGAAGCAAGCCTCCTGGTAGTGTGCATCTTTAATGTGAATGTGTCTTCTGACCGCCGACCTACAGGCGGTACCAGATAGCCTCGACCGTCTTCCATGCAGGTTTAATTTGGTCAACATAAGACTCGCGGTTACTTATTAATAGATATATGAAATCTGCACCAAAAATTGTAACGGTTTCCTATTTACTCATCCGAAAAATGTACGCCAGATCCAGCATCCGAAGCAAGCCTAATAGTATGCGTCTTTATAGATGTATCATCCATGCAAGTTTGGTCATCAATCAATTTCTATTAGTTGTATTGTTTGAACTATTTCGGCATGCGCAAGTATAATAAAAAGTAGTTGTTAGATCACGATTTACATGTATAAGGTGCTGGTCAGGCGTGAAGTGGTCACCGACGAGCAATCAACCAGTTTCGAACACGCTTTTTTGATTTATTCAAGGAAACACTGTCTAGTTTATTGGGTATACCAGGGCTTTGCATGCATACAAAGCCCCCACGGTTCCTGATCTTTCGCTTGGTGAAATTTACATTCCAGTAGAATTACATGTACCATGAAATCAACTCGATTAAAATTCAAAGTGTTAAGGATCGAACACAGCTGAAGCGCCTCCGATTTACTCCAATCGTAAAAAGATAAAACCCTGTGGAATTTGACTTCTAACTTGTACTGAAACTATGATAAGAAATTGTTAGCATATTTGGACACGGATGATGTGAAAATCTTGGTATATTTCACCTTCCTTCACCAAAAATCATAACTTTGAATTCAAAACATTCAACTTCCGGTTATCTCCGATGCATTCCGAATTTCCTCTGATTACTTTGTATATGCTTATACTTAGCTCAACGATCACCCAGAAGACCAGCGATGAACATGAGTACAACCTTAAATTATCACCTACTCTACTTAAATACCACCCTCTAACTTTCATAGAGAATATATCAATTCAACACCCTACAATTATCTACAACTGGCTCTCTCATGTAAGGGTTAGGAAATCGTCATCAACAGTAATGTTCTATCGCCTTCTACTCACCTTGCTAATGATAGGGGGTATTGAAACAAACCCAGGACCAGTTAAGTATCCATGTGGAGTTTGTGAGAAACCGTGCAAGTCAAACCAGAAAGCTGTAGCTTGTGATGAATGTAACCAATGGTTCCATGCAAAGTGCATGGGGATATCAGATGAATCATACCACCAATAAGGAAACCGATCATCCTCCTGGTTCTGTACTAACTGCAATAGTTATAACCACTCAACAACCTTATATGATGTGCCATTAAGTAACAACTCCTATTCTTTGTTATCAGATTGTAGTAACAACTTATTGGATAATACCACATCATCCTCAATTGGGAGTCCACTTCTAACATCATCACCGAAAACAAACAAATCAACAGTTATACCCAACCATCAGCGTAAAGGACTCCGCACAATCATCACAAACTTCCAGTCAATCAAAAACAAAGCGGCTGAGCTTGAAGTATTAATAGAAACCACAGCACCTGACGTCATAATCGGCACTGAAACCTGGACAAATAAAGACATACTGTCATCAGAACTTTTCCCTGATACCTATACAGTATACAGGAGGGATCGAGGTACAGACAGCTATGGTGGAGTGCTTATAGCAGTTCACACATCACTCACATCATCAGAGATATTCTCCAGTAAATCAGTTGAACTGATTGCTGTAAAGATCGACCTACCAAATGGGAAACAATTGATAGTATCATCTTTCTATCGACCACCAGGCTCCGGTGAAAGTTACCTTGACAGTTTCAGGGAAGATATCACATCTCTTAAACAGCAGCATAAGAAAGCAATCTTCCACATTGGTGGTGACTTTAATGCACCAGATATAGATTGGAAGTCGCATAATGTACTCAGCAGGAACAACATCTATCCAAAGTATATCAGCGAGTCCCTAGTGAATACCAGCGAAGAACTAAGTAATAACCTGTAAGACCAGAGGAGAGAATATCCTAGACCTACTATTTACTTCCCACCCAACTCTGATAGAAAAAATTAGGAGTTTACCACCCATTGGCAAAGCTGATCACGATGTCATCTTATGTGATGCAGCAGTGGAACCAGTAAGATCGAAACACCTTCGCAGAGAGATCTTTCTATGGAAAAGGGCCAATATGGATGCCATCAGAGAAGAAATAAAGAACAGCTATAAGGAATATGATAACATCAGGGACATCAATCTAATATGGACCAAGTTCAAGGTTATGATCAATAATTTGATGAGGAAACATGTACCAACTAAGTTTACTAGATCCAAGCCATCACATCCATGGATTGATACCCACCTAAACAGACTAACGAGGAGGAAGAATAGAGCACACCAAAAAGCAAGAAGGACCAAAAACAACAGGGACATGCAGAAATCGATACAACAAACTAAAAACATCATGCCAGCGAGAGATACGACTCGCAAGGGAAAAATACTTACAAGAAGTGATATGTGAGGATTCAAAGAGATTCTGGTCCTACATTAAACATCAAAAACAGGACTCCAGTGGCGTGTCTCCACTCAAGGGCCCCGATGATCTGCTCCACAGTGACACAGTGTCCAAGGCAGAAATCCTAAACAACCAATTCCATTCGGTTTACACAAAGGAAGACCTTACAGATATGCCATCTAAAGGAGACAGCCCACACCCTACTATGAACAACATCCGCATAGGAAGTAGTGGTGTATGTAAACTCCTGAAGGGCCTAAATATACATAAAGCAACAGGACCAGATGCAATTCTATCAAGATTCCTCCATGACTTTGCAACAGAACTAACCCCAATCATGACAAAATTGTTCCAACTTTCACTTGATATCGGAAAAGTGCCAGACGACTGGAGAGAAGCATCTATAGTCCCCATATTTAAGAAAGGAGAGAGACATTTAGCTTCAAACTACCGCCCAGTCTCCTTAACTTCCATATCACGCAAGTTGTTAGAACATATTGTACACAGCCAAATCATGGATCACTATGACAGTAACCATATACTGGCAGATCAGCAACACGGTTTTAGATCAAGACGATCATGCGAGTCGCAGCTATTGATTACAGTGGACGAGGTGGCCAAGTCACTGGCCCTTGGAGAGCAAGTAGACATAGTGCTGTTGGATTTCTCCAAGGCCTTTGACAAAGTGCCACACCAGCGCCTCCTACACAGACTGCACTTTTATGGCGTCAGAGGTTACACGTGGAACTGGATCAAGGATTTCCTGGCGAAACGGACACAGCGAGTCACCTTAGAGGGTCAGTCCTCTACCAGAGCTGATGTCATCTCCGGGGTTCCCCAGGGGACTGTGATGGGACCGTTACTATTTCTCACCTTTATCAATGACTTGCCGGAGCATACTTCATCAGACGCAAGATTATTTGCTGACGATTGCCTGCTTTATCGAAGAATTAACTCTAGAGCAGATGCCGAACAGCTCCAAAAAGATCTGAAGTCACTAGAGAAATGGGAACGAGAATGGCAAATGGAATTCCACCCCCAAAAATGCACAGTCATCCATGTCTCCAGGAAACAGCGTCCCATAACCAACAAATACCTCCTCCATGGCCACACTCTAGAGTCAGTCAGCAGTGGAAAGTATCTAGGTGTAACATTAAACAATAGGCTGAACTGGACGGAACACATATACAATGTCCGAGCCAAATCAAGCAAGACCCTAGGTTTTCTCCGTCGCAACCTACAGGGATGTAGAGCCGACATTAAATCTGCTGCTTACAGTACAATCGTCAGGCCCACCCTGGAGTATGCAGCGACTGTTTGGGACCCATATCAGCAAACCCAAATACAAATGTTGGAGAGTATCCAGAGAAGAGCAGCAAGGTTTGTGAAGGGCAACTATTATGATAGAACACCAGGCTGTGTAACATCTATGATGAAGGATCTACAATGGGAGCCCCTTGAAACACGCCGACAAACATCACGGCTCATCATGATGTATAAGATCAGCAATGACCTCATTTATATCCCAGCAACATCATACTTAACACCAGGGGATACTCGGACAAGGGGCAGCAAATACCGTCAGCCACCAACATACAAAGACGTGTACAAATTCTCCTTCTTCCCAAGGACCATCAGGGACTGGAACAGCCTGCCAGATCATGTTAAAGAAGCCAGTACCATCGACGGCTTCAAGAAGCAGCTATCCAACACCATAGCTGCTTCCTATCACCCTTAAGTGACATGCAGAACATTGTTTTTAACCGACTTTTAATTGTAAATAAGAGGCTTTTAGCTGTGTTCGACGTGCTATTACACTCGATATCGAGGCCAGCACTGAACAGGAAGAAGAAGAAGAAGGAAATTCCATCCTCCTGTGATGTTAGATTAATAATAATAATAAATAATAGAATAAATAAATTAAAATTATACCCAACTGAACAATACATTTTGGAAAAATGATTTTCAAAAATGCATATTTCTACGACGGCGTATTAGTGCCATTTTAACAATGTAGAATTTTTTTTTAAATCGTTTGTACGATTTAATAAATCGTTTGTACAATTTAATAAATCGTTTGTACGATTTATTAAATTGTACAAACGATTTACTAAATTGTACAAACGATTTATTAAATCGTACAAACGATTTAATAAATTGTACAAACGATTTATTAAATTGTACAAACGATTTACTAAATTGTACAAACGATTTATTAAATCGTACAAACGATTTACTAAATTGTACAAACGATTTATTAAATCGTACAAACGATTTATTAAATCGTACAAACGATTTAATAAATTGTACAAACGATTTAATAAATTGTACAAACGATTTAACAAACAAATTGTACAAACGATTTATTAAATTGTACAAACGATTTACTAAATTGTACAAACGATTTATTAAATCGTACAAACGATTTACTAAATTGTACAAACGATTTATTAAATCGTACAAACGATTTACTAAATCGTACAAACGATTTATTAAATTGTACAAACGATTTATTAAATCGTACAAACGATTTAAAAAAAAATTTACATTGTTAAAATGGCACTAATGCGCCGTCGTATATTTCCTTTATTTTATCAATTATTCAATCTTTAAAATAATGTAGACAAGGGCAATAACGCCTATATACTCATGTAGCTTCATTCAGGCAATTTTTTTTTGTAATTCTACTGAAAAATAGTTTCCCTTAAACATGTATTCACAATTAAAAAGTATTTTACAAGTTGCAAGTATTGGGCATTGGAATGTATACGAAAAAAACTTAAAATCATCTCAACCACTGAACAAGAAAAGCTGAAACTTATCTGGAAGCATTCCTGGGTAGTGTACATCTTAAATTGTTGAAATCATGTCCCCGGGGGAAGGACAGGGCCAGTGATGAGTGAAACGAAGGAGAAACATAATGTACATCGACGCCGAGGTATTACATAAGCTCCCCAATCTTCGACGAGGTGAGTTAACAACTTTTGCTGTTCTTTACCTGATTATCCCCCGTGTTATACCAATTCTGGCCCTGTCCTTCCCCCGGGGACATGATTTCAACAATTTAAAATGTACACTACCCAGGAATGCTTCCAGATAAGTTTCAGCTTTTCTTGTTCAGTGGTTGAGATGATTTTAAGTTTTTTTCGTATACATTCCAATATAAATCTAAATTCTTTATATTGGCCCAACCCTTCCCCATGAGTTACTTGAGCAATTTAGAAAATACTACCCAAGAATGCTTCCTCATAAGTTTCAGCTTTTCTGATCCAGCAAGTGTTTCTTGAGATTTTTGGTAAAACGTTGATTCTCTTATGTGGCTCCGCTCTAACCCAAGGGTCGACATATGATCATGATTTTAACAATTTAGAATCTACACTATCCCGTATACTTCCTCATATGTTTCCGTTTTTTTCTGGTCCAGTGGTTCTTTAGAAAAATTGTAAAGGAGGTTAATTGACACTTAATTTTATCAATTTAAATTCGATCCCAATGCTAAGGAACGCTTTTTTCCAACTTTATATAAAATTAACCTAGTCCGAAATCTTTTCCAGTTTTGTTTTAAACGATTTTGATATTTTACGTGCATTAAAAATATCAAATCATAAAAAAGCCTAGAAAACGCGTCAGATATTTCGGACTAAAATTGACCCAGTGGTAAGAAAGTGAAAATGTGCAATGTTTACAGGTGAGGTTATAAGTATTGCTTACGTTCTGCCATTCATAATGAAGATCTATAATATAGATATACATTATAATGAGCATCATATATTATTCTTTAAAGCTTGGGGTTTGCGTGGCATGCGATAAGCTATTTGGTTGCTTGCTGACATTTATACATTTCAGATGTTAGGATAGATGAGGAGGGTAAAAAGGCTTAAAAATCAATAACAAATAACAGAGAAAAAAATAATAAACCTTTTCCTATTTAGAATACACATACATGTACCCCCAACACACACACACACACACACAATCTAAAAACGAATGATTCAAAATTAAAAAAAAAGTTTCAAAAATGCGAGTGTAAACAAGAATGATATATATTCTGAATCTATCAAACCTTTGCAGTCTACCTGAATATATTAACTTTGCTGATCCTGGGCAGTCCTTCCGACCCCAGCGAGTATACACAGGCCCTCCTGATGAGCCTCCTTGGACAATAGTTATTATCAGAACCAACACCGAACATATACAGGGGATGGATGGCATCTAAGAATCCAAAAGAATTCAGAATATAGAAAAGACTTATTTATATATAAATCGCCTGCTTTTAGCTCACCTGAGCATAAGGCGCAAGTGAGCTTTTCTGATCGAATTTGACAGTTATCTGTCGTCGTTGTAAACCTAAAACATTGAAATATTTTCACATCAAGAATCACTACACTAATTTAAACCAAACATGGCACAGAGTATTCTTGGGTAAAGAGGATTCAAATTTCTTCAAATGAGGGACCATATACATGTACCCTCACCAAGGGGAGATGATAAAGAAAAAGTGAATATTGGGTGGATTAAGGGACTCCGACCCTCAGCTAGGAAGGACAACTCTTTAATTTATGATTAAATTCAAAAAGTCTTTAAATGAAGCTTGAAAATTTAATTTTTTCATGCAACAATTTTCATTATACGCCTCTCAATGTGCTTCAAGGTTCTTTGAACTTCGTAGAAAGGTCTAATTAAGAGTAGAAATTTTTATCCCGAGAAAGCATTTTTAGATACCAATGTTTATTAACATGATATGAAATTAGAAGTGATATATGGAGCTTTGCAAAGAACCTTGAAGCACATTGAGAGGCATGTAATGAAAATATTGTTGCATGAAAATATTTAATTTTCAAGCTTCATTTAAAGACTTTTTGAATTAAATTACAAATTAAAGAGTTGCCCTTCCTGGCTGAGGGTCGGAGTCCCCTAATTTAAAATTCTTCTTCTCAAGAAGCGCTGGACTGGAAAAGTTAAAACTTATGTGAAAGCCCTCTAGATTAGTGTGAATTCAATTTGTTCAAATCATGACCCCAAGGGGTAGTATGGGATCAAAGTTTTACAAGAGTTAGAATATTCAGAAAAAAACATTATGAGTAGTATAAGGAGCCTGGATGGCCGGGTCAACTGAGTGCACTTTTGGGGTTGGGGGGATAGGGGGTTCAACGGAGTGCACTTTTGGGGTTGGGGGGATAGGGGGTTCAAGGGAGTGCAGCC